TATAAAATGTAAATATATAATAAATAATATATATAATACGTTTCGGATTTGCATATTTCATGGATTGCTTAATCTGCAATTCGATCCAAAACTTAAGATTCAGAAAATCTCAATCCGTATCCAATCAAAATTTTTTTTAATCCAATTCAAAATTTTTGATTGGATTGGATTTGAAGGATCAATTGGATTGATAGATTCCATGAGAACCACTGATTTTCTAGAGAGAGAATGTTTTATGGAAAAGAAAGATAAGAGAGAGTAAAGTACATGGGAGATGTTGTCCTCGTCTCTGGTGGTTTCCGAATCGAATTCGGGTGCAGAAGCGTGGAAATACGAATCGGGTTCGAACAAAAATTTTCATAAAACTTTTTTGAACGCTATAGAATATATTAATTTACAACGAATAAATTAATCCAATGTATTTAGTACAAGAATTATACTTTGCTAACGATTAGGAAGATAGCTTGAATTCTTTGACCAACGAACGATCCAACCTCCAAGCTTTCTCATAATACTAAAATCTTCCACGTCTACTCCTTGAAACTTGCAAGACTTAGAGTGTGGGCTCTGGGGTAGAACTAGCATTTATGATCACTTGCTAATTTTGTCTTTCTTCACTATTATCGCATGTATGTGAAGAAACTGAGAGATAGAAGAATTTTTTTTCTCTTTTTCTCTCTCTATAAACTCGGCCAACACTAGGGAATTAGGAGATCAAAAAACTAATTTTCTCCAATTCCTATTGTCTCCTATTTATAGAAAATTAAGAGAACCCTTTTGCTTGTAGACAAAGTAATAGGAAATTTGTAACTACTATTAAAATATAGTTTCCCTTTTAATTTTGAAAACAAACTTTCCTTCCTATATGCTATAGGTGGCCAGCCATTATAATGCAGGAGAGAGAAAATTATTTCTTAATCCAGTTTCTAATTTTAACTCAAATTCAATTTCAAATAAAGTTACACTTTACTTTCCCTTCTGAATTTAATTGGAAAACTTGTTAAACAAGTAAATCAGATTACTTGGAGAGCAAACAACTAAATCCTCTTAAGATTTTACCTGTGCCACACGCCCCTTGCACCCAGTGAATGGGCGTGTGGCCTATGTGGTCCCACCACATTGTGCTTTCTAAAATTAAATAAAATAATCTCATTATTTAATATATAATTAATTCTTAATTAATTATTTGTGAGTGATATAAAATCTTGATAATTCATCTTGTCTTGAAAATATTACAAGGATGACGTGGGGACTCATGAACCTATAATTTTGAACTCCAATAAAATTAATAATTAATTAAACTCTTTAATTAATTAATTCTATTAATTTTAAAAGTCACTCCACTAAAAACTTGGAATTGCACTCTCAAAATTATAGACATAATTTACTTATAAGAACTTGAAGTGTCCATTTGATATAGTCACTACATATAGATGGATCTTCCATAAATAATTCATAATTAGAGCTAGGTAAAATCCGTTAAGCTCTCTAATTACATCTTTATCCTTGAGTACCATTGATTCTCTAATGGATAGTGATTCATAAAACACATTCATGAATCGGAGCTCCAACTAATCCAAGTATCGAATCAACCCTCAAGGGAATTATTTATCTGCTTCTTTCTTAAGAAAGAATAGATTCCATATTATAATATTAACATTTCTGGATACCTATATCTCCATGTCTCCAAGATACAAGGATAAGATCTAAGTGTGTCAAGATCTTTACTGAGTAAGTCAAAAGACACTATGTAGACTTAATTAGAATTTCTATACTTAACGGAAATTATCAGAAATTCATATTGTGTCTGTGTCCGAGTCCTACATAATCTCATTATGTAAAATACACTCACTTTGATATCTCAACAGATCAACGATCGAATAAGATCGTTCCATTTAGAATGAGAATGACATGTATTAATAATGTGATCAATTAAAGATTCTAAACTTTAATCAATAACCATTATGGATTTTATGTTTCGATTATTATCTTTAAATATTATTCTCTAGTATATAACACTTATATACCATATTTAAGGTTACATAAATAATTGTAAAATTTTTAATGATATTCATAAAGTATTCAATAATACATGCACGTAAATAATGAAATTTATACTTTATTAATTAAATAATAAAATTCTTAATTATATCTCATGCTTTCAGGACACTATTCCTATCAGTCTCCGCTTTTTAGATGTTGTGCTAGACTCAGGAATTCTTAATTGAGGGAACCATCCTCATACCATACCAATACCCATCTTATCCCCCATCAAATAGAATTATGCATGTAAAAGTTATTGCAACTTAAAATAAAAATAGAGTAGAAATTCATTATTAATTAATTTAAACCAAATTAAAGGTTTGGTAATACAAACCAAATTCTAAATATATGCAAACCAAATTCTAAACATATACAAATTAAATCTTAATAGAAGAGCCACATAAAAATATAGTTACCTTTTTTTAGTAAATAGTAATTTTTAAAAATTATGTATATGTATATATTTACATAAAAAATATAATATATGTATATCGAGATAGAGACGGGACGGAGAGTGATTTCTCCTTTTCCTATCCCCACTAAGACTCATAAATTAGATTTTATTCATATCTCCATTTCTAATAATAGTCCCCTATTCCCGCCCTGAATATTACCATCTCGCCTATGCCTATACTTTTTTTATTGAGTAACTGGCACAATCAACAATTTTTTTTTTTCTTGTTCTCAAATGTATTTTCTTTAAAAAGGTTTTTTCAAATCATCTTTTAAGCTTCACTAATTTGTTTTTGCTAAGGTAATTTTGAATTACTTTTTTTTTTCTATTTACTCCTATTAAAGTAATTTATTTCTTGTCTTGCTATTTATTCTTTTTTTCTTTTTTCTTTTTGCCTAAAGCTTTTCTACAATTTAATTCTTATTCGATGTATTTCTTTTAAATGTTTGTTCTCAATTATTTTATTAAAATATATTTTTAAATGTGTCCATAATTTTTTACGTCTAACCATTGTTATTTTAAAGTGTACCCATTTTAATATGTTAGTGTTAATTGCATATTAACAACCAACTAAAGCTTCGTTTGTTTCACAATTTTAATCATAACTCAAGTATTTTGCTATAATGTTTTCTTTCACAAAAATTTAAATTCAACTTTTTCTTCTATAATGTTTTATATCACATAAATTAAAAATATCTATTATTAATAAATTAAAAAATTAATAACGCGGTAATCAAAGCTTAACACGCATATAGAACATATAAAATTACTCACAACACGCATAACACGTGACATGCAACCAATACTATTGTAAAAGAGAGTTTCCTTTTGGCAATATTTCATTTTTTGGCCAGTTATTTTGTCTCGTGGTGCTTTAATTTTTTTAATTTTTTCCTTTTTTTTTTTATCTCTTTCTTTGGCTTTCTTGCCTGAAAAACTTTATACTTTAAACTATAATATATTAAAATACTTTTCCTTTCATTTTAGATCTATTTGTAATAATTTTTGTCAAATACATTATCTGCACTTAAATGGTTTTTTTTTTAAATTAAATGTAGTCTTTGTTCTTATTTTCCTTTATCTTGTTTCTATTATGATAATTTTTCACAAATATATCTATACTTATATATTTTTTTACAATCCCCTAAAATATTTTTGTTAGATATGGTCTTCATAAATTCATTGATTTTCTAATTGCTTCACTAAATTTTTTCCACAAATGTGTTCTATTTACACATTTTTTTCTTGTTAATATGTTTCCCTAATAAAATTTGTATTTGATTGTTTTCATGTCTTTTTTTCGTTAAATGAAATTTATCTTATATCTTATCATATCTTATATTTAATCTTATCTTATTGTACATATTTTTAAAGCGTTACCGCATACTTCCATTACTTCTTCCTTCACCGTTTTGTTCATTTTCTTCCATTTATTTTTTTGCTCCTTTATTTTTTTTTAGTATTTTGCTTTTTCCATTTTTTCTTTTCTACCTTTCTTCTTAGTTTTTTCTTTACTTGTTCTAAAATGCTACTTTCATCTTGTTTTTTCTTCTTTTTTTCCCTTTCTCATTGTTAAATATTTGTCTACAACATAATTTTTATAGTGCAATTCTTTAGGAAATTCTTTTTCACACTTTGCTCCTATTAAAATAGCTTGCATGTCCCTTTTTTTTTTTTTTTTTCTCTTTTTAGTTTTTACCAAAGATGTTCCTATAATTTAATTTTTATATTCTTCAAATACTGTTTTTTTGTACTTGCTTCTATAAAAATATTTGTTTTTTTTTTCTAAATATGTTCTTATTATCTTTTTTATTCGTATAATCCTTATTTTATAGAAAATAATTCTTATAATTTTTTTTCCTAATTAGTCCAATCAACAATCTTTTTTTCTCAAATGTATCTTCTTGTTTTTTCACGTCATCCTTTCAGCTTCACTAATTTGTTCTCGTTAAAGTAATTCTGAATTACTTTTTTTTTCTCTTTCCTTAATCCAACTAAAGTAGTTTATTTCATGTCTTATTGTTTGTTTTTTTTTATTCTTTTTTCTTTTTTCCTATAACTCTTCTAAAATTTTAATTCTTTTTCGATGTATTTGTTTTTAATCTTTTTTATTTCCTCAATTGCTTCTATTTTAATATATTTTTTTAATGTGTACATAATTATTTTCGTGTAACCCTTGTTATTTTAAAGTGTACTCATTTTAATATGTTAGTGTTAATTGTATATTAACAATTAAAAATATCTATTATCAAATAAATTAAAAAATTAATAACACAATAATCAAACTTAACATGCAATACAAAACTTTAAAATTACTCACGTGGTGCAGAACGAGTACCATTCAAGTAGTAAAAGAATTTGAGGTTTGTTTCGTAAAAAAAAAAAAGCTGTCACATTTTAAAAAATTTTGAATCATCTGTACAATTTACTCTAATAAGAATGATATTCTCCGAATCCCAAATACTGTACAAGTATAACCAACAAACAAGACAAACCACTCAAATCAACGAGAAAAATGTGAAATCATTACATAAATTTTCACTTAGTGCATGACATGAGAGATACTGATTATACATTGCGAATCACCTTTTTAATTTGGCGATATGATTTAGTCAAATGAACTTTGACATATAAATACATTACATAGTTGATTTAGCAACAACGTCAGCTGATTTAGCACGACAAGGCCGAACAAAATCCGCAACGACGTCGTACAAAGCCATGGCCTTGTCGTTGTCAAAAAGCTCCACACCGTGGAACCCACCGTCATCAAATGCAGCGACCACCTCCACTCCTCTCTCCCTCAGCATCTCCACAAACTCCCTCTGCCTGTCTACCAGTGGGTCCCCTCCATACCCACTAACCAAACACCTTTGCAGTCGTTCGATCCTCCCGTCCTGATGACCATTCCCCACCGTCGGATTACAATACTCGTGATTCCGGTCAGCCCCCTCCGGCAATGCCAAGCTCCAAAGTAGATCATTCGCCGGCAGCGGAAGGATCCGATCTCCAACCAGCCTCATCTCAGACTCCGTCCTGCGGGTCCCACCGAAGTAGGGCTGGTTCATGATAAGCCCTCTGATCACAACCGGCGAGATGTCGAGATCTAGCGCACGAAGACCCGCGTGGTAGACGATGTTTCCACCGGCGCTGCTGCCCATGAGGAAGAAGTTGGAGAAGTCTGCTGAGTGGGTGAGCCAGGGGTCGCGAGGGGCGTCGGCGGCTGCCCAGCGGAGGGCAAGGAGGGCGTCATTGTAGGCGGCGGGGAGGCGGTGCTCCGGGGCGAGGCGGTACTCGACGGAGAGGACGAGGGCGGGTAGGTGGGCTGCGATGCGGGAGCAAGAGTTGTGGAAGGGGACGGAGGCGGCGGAGAAGAGGACGAAGCCGCCGCCATGGAAGTAGAGGATGATGGGGAGTTTAGAATTTAGGGGAAGAGGGTGGGGCTTGAAGATGCGGATGAAGGTTTTGGCGGCAGGGTTGAGGGGGACGTCTTTGGTGAGCACGATTTGCGGGGAGATGTCGGAATTGTTAACGGCCGCGGAAGGGGGAACGGAGGGGACGGGGGAGAGGCGGGTGAGGGAGCCGTCGGGGTTGGGGGCGATGCGGAGGAATTTGTAAGGGTCTAGGGAGGGTTTTTCTGGTGTTTGTGGTGGCTGTGGTGTTGAGGAAGAGTCCGCCATTGACATGTTACTGTTTTTCTTAATTTTATTTTATTTTTTTGTTCGTCAGATGGGGAGGGAGGGATTGTGGAAGACTTGGTGTGGGAGTCAATGAATATGCACTGATGATAACATGAATTGGGTTATCGACCTACACGATGATAGCAGTTAACGATCACATCATTAATTATTAAAATCATATGTTTATTTTTTAATAATTTAATAGATAATTATCGAGGAAAAAATATTATATAGAGTAACTATTAAAAACTAATTCATCTATCTATTTATACTATATTTAAGGGTGATTTTTTTTTTTTTTTTTTTTTTTTTTTTTTTTTTTTTTTTTTTTTTTTTTTTACGTTTTGCACTTTTTTTTTTGGCAAACCGTTTCACAACTTTTTTTTATATAAAAAAAAACGTTTTGCACAATAGTTAAAATGCTGGAAATGTAATGCAAAATTTTTTTTCTACATCTTTTGCCTTTTTTTTTATCTTAGTTTCTTTTTTTTTCTTTTTTTCAACAATTTGTATAATCATAATTTTAAAAAATGTCATGTTACGTGCGTTTTGATCAATATATATATATATATATATGAAAATAAATATTTTCAGAAATAAGGAGAAAATAGATTGAGATCTTGAGTTGGTGATTCCTTTAATACACATAAAAGAGGAGTTGGTGAATTATCAACCAAAAGAATTAGAAAATGGAGGGGGAAGTATGACTAGTTATAGGATCAGAAATAATTAAGCATGTAGATTCGAATGTCCTCCCGAAAAATAAATGTAAATGTACATGGTACATCCTTTCTTCTGAAATCTTGCAAAGAATCTCTACTTCTTTCTTGGTGGCACTCTAATGTCTCTACTTCACTTTTTTCTAATGTCTCTACTTACGCCTTTTTGTTTTTTTGTTTTTTTGTTTTTTTTTTTCCCTTATGTGAATTATCAAAGTATTGAAGAAAGTTAGGATTGGTGCCCCTCCGGATTGAGAATCCAAATCCCAACAGTAATATTAAATAAGTAAATTATTATTTTACCTAATTTACTTGTAAAATGTTAGAACAATAAGAGAGATGATAACCTTTATTTATTATTTTATTTACTTAATATTACGACAATTTTCCCAAATACTATTAAATTCGTGCATAAATTTTCATTGAACTAAATAATGTATTTCAATTTTTTTTTTATTTTTAGTTTTCTATTTATTTTCTTCAAATTTCCACACTACTTGTAACAGCCAAACAATTTAAAATAGAATTCTAATCACTTTCTTTAAAGCTTTACAGGAAAAAAAAATTGTTCTTTCGTGATAAATTCTGTCAAGCAAATGAACAGTTGTTGATAAGAACATGTCAAGATCAGTGATTTCCAGCCATTAAATATCAACTACATTATCAGTGTAACCTAAAAGTATGACAATTAATGAATGGCATTGGTAATTTCTGTTTGAATATAGTATCAGGGAAGGAAAAAAATATCTATAAGCATAAAGTCAGAAGAAGTGTATTTTTCATAGCTTGATGAAAAAAAAAAGTATTTTGTCATTTTTTTTTTAAAAATTGCTTTTATTAACTTCTTATATAAAAACTATTTTATCTCTAAATATTAAAAACCATCAATATGATTGGTGTAAAGATAAGAATGTCTTTCTTTTTTCTCCTTTTAAGATGCGTTTAGGATTTGATACTTTATAGCCTCCACTTTAGAACCCCATCAAATCAATATGTTGTGCGACGTTTGATGTGTGGTGTCATGAGTGAAAGCTAAGCCTATTTTTTTTTTAGTAGAATTGAGTCAAACCTTTTCTGTTCATTTGTGGGTCCCAAAATTTCCAAAGTAATGAAGGAAATATTGGATGCTTGGTGATACTCATAATTAAAAAAAATAAGAATGATAGAACACCAAGATTTTAAGTGTGGTTTGTCAATTTATCTACATCTAAGAATGAGAAGATAGGAATTTTTCTACCAAGAAATACTGTCAATAGACTGCATATAAATAAATATTACAATTATTGAATCAAGTAAGTTACACAAAGCCAGTGATAAAGTGAGAAATTTTTGTGAGTTAGGGCTCATAGTTAAGTAAAAAATTTAATAAAAATAAGATTGATTGTATAGTTTATATATATATATTGTACTTTCAAAAATAGGGACTATATAATTTATTTTAGTGAGAGTTAATTTGTATCAATCTAATATGATACATAATTATACGAATAAAATTTTTAAAACTAAAAAATTTGAGTGGTGTGAGTTAAGCCCTCACTGAGCATGCCTTGGCTCCGTGCACGCGCATAGCTAATCTCCCAAAGTCAAGAGTCACTTTAAAATTTCAAATAAAAAAAAGTTACTTGAAATTGAAAAAAATATAGTTAAATTCAAACTATTATTGAATATAAGAAAAGTTAACTTTCCCTAATTTGTCTATACAAGGTGGTGCTCCGATAGAAGATTTTGATTTTAGATCACAAATTATAATGAGTGATAGGGTGCACATTACAAGTGTTAGAGTATGAGTGATAGGAAATGAACAAAAGTTGATGGGGGTAGGGACAAACTCAACTTGACCATAGCCACTTTAAAAAAAAAAAAAAAGGCATTCCACTCCGTCATAAGTCTTGCTCATATTCAACTTCAATGTCTTGAGACCTTCGTACCTCCAGTTTTATGTTGAGGCTCATAAACAATAATAAGATTGTATAATATGAAGCGACCAAATACAAAGGCACTCTACTCATTAGAAATAATCTTTAGAAAAAATGTCTTAACGTGACTAGATAACATTTTAGTAATGATTTTGTACACTACATTACATAGATTAATTGGCATAAAATTTGAGACTTCCTTGGGTGATTTCACCTCGGGAATAAGCAGCGAATAACTTTGATTAAGTGAATGAAATTTCATTTAAACATTATTCAGCAGCTTAATCTGTTGCTTTTTATAATTAGCACGTAAGTGATGTATCAAATAACCTAAATGTTCAAAAATGAAGAAGAAGATCAAATGTGAAAGTGACCTATAAATGGACTTAAAACTTGTGGTCCTTTTGAACTCGCATAAATTATTCAACGAATAATAACAGCTAAATTTAAGATTTAGAAGATAAGATCAATTTATATTTGGGAAATTTTAATACTCCCTAAGTAGGATAACATCTAAAAAAATAATTTGTATAAATGAAAAAAAAGTTAAAAAAAGGCCAACAACAAAAAATAATATTATGAGGAACATGCGAAAGCAAAAAGAGAAGATGAAAAAAAAACATAAAAAACAAAAAAGAAAAAATGAACAGTAAACACTGTCAATGAACAGTATTCTCAGCCAAAATAGTGCACGTTGGTTGAAAAACGGTTCATTTGAATAATATTTATTGATTATTATTTCTTTCATTACTAGTTTAAGAACATGTGCTATGCACATGGGAGTAATTGTGTATTGATTTTTAATTATCGTGTTATTATTAATAACATATAGAAGCTAAAAAAAGAAACTAAAATTTTAAAAAAAAGTTTTAGAGTAAGTAGTAAAAAAAAAGAAAAAAGAACTAAAATGAAAGGGGAGAAAACCTTGGAGAGCAAAAAAAAAAAAAAAGTGTAGCACCACTGTAGTGATACTGTTGCGAAAGCTGTGTCAAAGAAAAAGTGCAGTTGTATTAGTAATGAAAAATTTTTAATAAAAAAAGTGAAAAGTAGAATGAGGAGAGACAATAAACATATTATAAGCTATTGTCATGAAACTAAAGAATTGTGAAAAATTGATATTAAAGTAAAACAAAAATGGAAAACTAACTTGTATTTTACCCAAAAATTTAAGTCCAACTTTCCTAAATCAAACTATTATAATAGAATGCTTTCCTAAACTTGTGAAATGCCTAAATTCAAATCGTTATGTAGTTTACTTCAAATTATGATTTCCATTTAGCACGTGACTTTTTTCCAATATATTTTGGATTCCGGATATAGTTTGGCACTTATCCAAGAGGCTTATCTGAAAGTGTGAAGCAAGAGAGTCGTGTAATTTTTTTAGTATTTTTCATTAGTACATTTGCTCTACATCTCTCGTGGATGTAGGAACCAACCTGAATCCTTTTTTTTTTTTTTTTTTTTTTTTCTTTTAAACCTGCAATGAGAATTTGAATTTCACGTCGTGTGATAAAGTCAGGTATAAAATTACCATTAGCCTATGGTTGTAATCACCCAACCTAGATCTTTTACTACTTCAAAATGTACATTTGTAGAAGTAATTATAATTTGTAAGAATACTACACAAAAAAGATTTGAGTCTTAAGCCTAATCTGTCTGTAAGAATGTATTTACTTTTCATGTAACTTACTATCAATAGCCAATAGGCGAGCAATTTTATCCAATTTGGCAATAAAATATTCTCTCCTCATCTCAACAGCAAAATTACTCTGTTCTAAAAGATGTCGTTTTCTCTAACAAATATGAGGACGCTATTTGCCAAAACAGCATTTGAAATTTGAGCAAGAACTCCTTCGAGAAAAAATAAGCTTCACTATCAGCTCTCACCCTTGACACATGTTGACTTGTCATACTCTTCCCTGCTCTCAAAGCAAAATCAAACAAACAAATCTTGAACAGAAGAAATACCTACTATATTATTAGCAAAATCGATGATCCAACAGAAGAACATAAGCCAAACAACAAATCCAGTTCTCTCCAAAAGCTAAAACAATTCACTGCCGTAGATTATCGCTACTGCAGAATATTGGAACAACTACTTGCAACGGGTAGATAAAACATGAACAGAGGAAAAACTGCATCAAGGCATACATCCATAATACAACTAAATACTAAGCCAAATCAGAACTTGCGGCTGGCCAAGCTTGCATCCCGCATCTCCCATGCAGGTCTGCTCTCCCTTGCAATATCCGTCCTGATTGCCCGCTCAATTGGTTTAATGGCAAAGAAGAACTACAAAAAAACAAGGCAAATTGAAAGCAATTCATTGAATCAAGCATGGAAAGAGAAGCAAAATTTAAGATCTTTCTTCCCCAAGAAAAAGCGAAAAGAAAAATTCCACGGGCTTACTTGGATTAATAAAATCAGAGGAATGAAGGCCTTCCCCCTCTCATTGGGGTTTGGCCCTTCAATCAACTTCGTATCAACAAAAATAGACTTGCTTCCATTCAACGCCACTACCGTGATTTTTTCAACTAAATAAGAAATCCAAGCAATTCCATTCGGAAGAACCTATTTCCAAAGAATAGCCAATCTTGTCAATAACTTGAAAAGGATAAACAAAAGCTTCACAAAAGGCGTTGACCAAAACAATAGTAATAACATGAGGCAGATGACCGACCTTTTCATCACTCTCATTCTTATTACACCTTCCACTGTTCTCAACCAAAACCACAGGAATTGAAGAACCCTAAGATGAAAGAATAGGTGAGAACTTAAAAAGAAAATAGAAAACAATTGCAACCATTAAGAATTTTTTTTTTTTAATTGAAGATTAGGCCACACTAATAGAAATATGAAAGAAGATACAAAATTAGAAACAGAAATTCTTTTGCAATCTACATTCACGGCTTGACATTGGAGTTGCAATTAAGAAAGTTCAACGCTTATTTAAGCTAATTTATTCTACTTTTACATGTGTTGTGTTTGTGACACACACAATTCTTGACTTGGGGAACTTAAATACATACCAGTTTCATTCATAGTGATGCAAAGAAACCCCTTAGATTGAAAGCTCAAAAACACAATATTATGTTATAATTGTTGAACTATTGAAAAAAAAAAAAAAAGAAGAAGAAGAAGAAGAAAAGAACAGTAACTTCAATAGGACCTACTTCCATCAATGGTAAAAGTATTATACTTCAAACTTTACTTCACAAAGTAAGAAAACTTTACTTCAAACTTTTCTTTTTTTTTTTCCAACTCAAAAAAAAAAAAAAAAAAAAAAAAAAAAAAAAAAACAAAAAAAAAATATAAAAAAAAAAAAAAAAAAAGAGAAGAATGCATAACAATATATGTGGCGGTTCAAACACTTCTTGCCCTGTCAACCTTCAATCTTTCTCGGCAAAACCTCCACACATTAAGTGATTCAACTAGAAGCTCAATGAGATAAAGAATTATTGGCATAAAAAGAACTTCACCTTTCTAAAACAAAATATAAGATATAATGGAGAACTAATAAAATCTCTTCTTACGCATCAAAGTGGCATATATGCTTTATGTATCTTCTTAAAACAAGATAACATGTGTGCACTACGGAAAAACATGCGGTCACATCACAAAGAGAGACAAGAAAAAAAAATGCATACTTGCACATCATGTTTCTTTAACCCCGCACCAGAGCGAACAACTTTCAAAAGAGCCTCGGATCTTTTCGAGAAGAACTCATCATAAGGCAAGCCATCTGGTGGTGAAAGCTGAGCATGTGTAAGGACAACTAAAGCTCGATTCCAGATTCGTTTGCCAAAACTGTTGGCAATGGCACTCACAACCTCCTTGTCCAAGTTATCAACTCTGTATGCGTCTAACCGATCCACATAGAGTAGGACGTCTATTATCTTATTCAGAAGAAAGCTGTTCAAGTAAAGATCACCAACCATATAAACAGTCAAATGAACATCTTGAATAACTCACTCTAAAACCACAAATTCATTTAATGAGGAAAAAAAATAAAAAACAAAAACAAAAAAAACAAACAAACAAACCTCTTGATATTATTAAGCGCGATATCATTGATATATCCCCCTTCTATGAGCCCAGGAGTATCAATAATGTTCAACGTAAAACCCGCTCTTGAGCGTGAAATCATCACCGGTCTTAAGCCTTCAGACTACAAAATGCAACACACTGGCTTTGTGAAAAAATGACAGAAAGCAATACTCAAAACCTTCAAACCAAACTAAAACAGTAATCAACCAAGCAAAGAGAAAAGGACAACAACCTGAAAAGGACTAATGGTGACTACCCTTTCCCCAACGATTGAGTTCACAGTAGACGATTTTCCAACTCCACCTTTTCCCATGACAAGTATCGTCAATGTGTTCACATTCTTCATTAAGTGCATTCATGAACAAATATTAGTGAGCAAAAATCATATTAAAAAAAAAACTATTTTTTGTCCAAAGCAAAAAAGAATTCAAGATTATAAACTTATGACTAAAGGGACAAAATAAATAAATAAAAGTTCAACCTCCTGCTTGAGTTTTCCCAGCAATTCGAGCAACTTGGTCTGAGTGGCAGGTGCAAATGAATTAATCCCTGACCATTCTTTGACAATTTGGGCAGCCATTTCTCAGTCTAATTCTTAACTATTCCTAAATTTAAGATAAAAGAAAGAAATAAACCAAACATCAATCATTCAATTAAAAAAAAAGAACTAAAAAGTAACGATAGCAACACAGGCACAGAGTCCACAATCCTCATACAAGTCGTCCAGGCATAAATTTCTTCCAATATCATAAACCCTTTTCACAGTAACAAAAGAAACAAGCAAGATTTACAAAATGCCTAAAGAAAGAACCAAAAAAAAAAAAAAAAACCCAATTGCCAAACCAGAAAACGGAGCACACAAAACCCAGACTTGGGTTTAGCGAGAAAACTGTTGATACAGAGAGAAGCCCCTAAAACCCTAAGAAAATCGAGAAGACGAGAGAGTTTATTACCTGAAAGCAAAGGTGGGTTTAATGGAAACGGTAAATTGTTTTGCAAGAGAAAAAGAGATAATGTTCGGGTGGGGGAACACTGCAGTTTTTGCCTTTTCTACCCCCCCGTTTTCGATTTTTTTGGCGGAGAGACCGGCTTTTGTCGCCTCTCTTAACTCTTCGAGTCCTTCCCCAAACAAAAACCTCGTTCTTCCGCGGGGATCTAATATATATTTCAACAAAGCTTGTGGTCCACGTGCATGTCACGTGCTAATCACTATCATTAAAAAAAATAGGGCAAATTACACGGATCCCCCTAAACTTTAAGCCGTGTAACGAAATATCCCTTGAACTTCACTTTATAACTTTCGTTCTTTTAAATTTTAAAATTATTATAAATTTTTCTCCTCTGTTAACTTACTTATGAACGGAAATTAACACGTGGTACGAATTTGTAGCAAGAATGAGGGTATTAAGGTGACGTTTGGTAAGAGAATTCGTACTCTGATTCGAATTATAATTCATAGTTCGCTACAGTATTTTTTCTTATAAAAAATACACATAAATTAAAAATAATTTTAATCTCATGATTCTAATCCATGAACTAAACGTCTCATAAGTGTGTAATTACAAAATTGCACCTAAAATAAGTGTAATATGGAATGAATTTGTCATTTTTTTTGGGACAAATCTCTCATCCTTCTTCTTCTCTGCTCTGACGTAACCTAAGAAGCTTTTGTGCTTCAACAATGGATGTCACTTGGAATGTGTTGTTAAGACGTTGAAGACCCGATTTAATAATGGTGGGCGAAGGATGCTCAAGTCACCGGGTGCTTGGGGATGGCTTACCGATCGATGGCAATGCTTAGCTTCTTGCGGGGTGGGTGGGGTGGGGGTGGGCAACAATCCTAATGGGGTGAAAGGTTTGATTTCTTGATATTTTAGAGAAAAATTGGGGTGGGTGTTCTCTTTTAGCGTCTCAAAGTAGGGATGCACCGAGTGAAATTTCACGCCTCAAATGCTTTTAATGAATTGGCTAACCGGTGCAAAGCAACAGAGACATGGGTGTTGAATACCACTATGCAGATAATTTCTGCATTAAGATGCTAATGTTATTTTGAAAAGTTGCCGACATTAATATTAAGTTGTAAATAACCTATTAAGATGTATGCCTAGTCCCTTCTTATTAAAAGTAAGCATATAATTTAATTCTCGAGTGACCTCTAAGTTTCATACTTAGGATGATTTTGTTGAATATGTCAAGCTCTGAATTTAAATACTTATTGGTTAAGAGTATTTTGATGTGCTAATATAAATAGCATAATATGGGATTTTTATGTTCTTTAAGTCGTGATTATTGGAGTTAATAAGTAGTATATATTATATAATCCATTAGTAAAACATGTTTTAACTTGACACTAAGCGAAAATTTGTTTTCAGCGATGAGTTTTGTTATCTAGTTTACTTGTTCATTAATAAGAAGATTGCCTAAGGTAAATGATTAAAGAAGTTTTATGTAAAAAAAAAAATCTATTTTGGTAACTAGAATATGTTTAAAGTCAAGTAAACATTTAAGATGAGTTAATGATGGTTTAAAAAATCGGGTCATTACACGAGCTTCTATCTGTGCTAGGTTAAGGTTTCAAGTCTAAAAATTTATGAAGTCTGACCCTGAACAACATATACTCATTTGTTTATTTATTTTTTTAAAATACCTTAGAGAAATTTTATTGACATCCCAAGATTTTATTAAGACATCTCAATATATTTAAAAATTTTAATTAATCTCTTTTTATTTTTAAAATCTCTTATAGCTCTAAAATTACTCTTATGTACACCCCACACTTTTCCACTTTTAAAATTTGTTTCTTAAAAAGTTTACTTTTCCTTTATTTTTGGGTGAGATAAGATTTTTTCTATATTTGAACGTTTTTCCTTTTCTTTTCTTTCCACTTTGCTATTTTTATTTGAACTTGAACGATTTCTCTTTTTTTGTTATAACCTTTTTTTTCTTCTTCTTTTCTTTCCATTTTACTTGTTTTACGTTAACAACTTTGCAATTATTTTTTTTCAAATTTCTTGATTATGTTAACGTGATTAAGTTCTTCTATTATCATCATCATCATTCATCACAGTTTCAGAATTTGAGTAAAATTCCCAATGCGTTCATCTTCTTCGTCCTGCAAAATATAACTAAAAACCAAAAATAAAAATCAACAACTTCAATCAAACAAAACACAAACGAGAGAGTTAAAAAAAAACCATACATTAAAACTTGATGATACTTTCTCATCTTGCTCTATAATTACTTGGTGAATAGAAAATTTTATTAGAGGTTGGTAAAAAAAAGTTAACATAGATGATTGTTTCAATATTGCTTAAAAAAAATAAAAAAACTGTATGTATTTTTGTTCTTCAACTTTAAAAATTACGCGGAGAGGAAAGATTCAATAAAAGTTTTTTTAAATGCGTTAAATAAAAAGATTCAACCAAAAAATAATGAAAGTGATTCTTTTAAGAAATCATTTTTAAAATGTAAAAAAATATGAGGTGGACATAGGAGCATTTATAGAAAATAATTAAAATTTTTAAATATATTATGGTACCTTAATAAAATCTTAAAGGTGCCAATAAAATTTTCCAATACCTTATATGTTTGGGCCGACCCGGTATCAGCATGAGCCACTCTCCCTTAACTCAGGACTGGCCGCTCTCTTTCTTTGGGTTGGCCCGGCCCGATTTTGCCGTTTGGGCAGTCCGGCTGGGGTGCCTCGAACTTGCTGATTTTTGGCTATTTAAAAAAATCAACTATGATTAATTGCTATTATTTTAATCAAAATTTAAATTGTTAAGAAAAACAGTTTAATTAGATTTAAAAAAAAAAAAAATAGTTTTAAGGATTAGTTCCCTAAGCTTAAATTGCAGATTGAGTTGTATTGTTGTTTCTCGAGACCGGAGGCTTCAGGGAGCCAGTATCACACTGTCACTGTATCGGCGCTGCCACTGAGGAGCTTAATTCAAGTGTCACAAAAGTAAGAAAATGTTTGATCTTTTTCTTATTTTTTTTTATTTTCTTTTTTCCGTTGTGTAGTTTGTTCATTGCTAGCTGTTTCTTAAATGAATTGAATTGAAAACAAATTCCTTTCAGTTCAAAAAAAAAAAAAAAGAAGTAATGGAAAGAGGAAGTAGGGAAAAATATTATGTGATTTTTAGAGACGTTTTAGTGGGTTTATGCTACGGTTCATTTTTTGATTCGCTGGATCATTAGCGATAGTTCGATAGCAAGTGGATTTTGAGATTTCTTCTTCATTTTTGATTAATTGAGCAACAATAAGCAAGTAAAAAAAAATAAAATAGAAATTAAATTCCATGAAAATGCTTTTTGATGGAGAAATTAAATATCCTAAAACGTGTTCTCAAATGGATTCTCACTTGATTAGCATAGTACTGCAAAAATGTAAGAATTTAAAAGACCTTCAAAACGATTATCTAAAGTTATTCTTACCGGTGTAATGAGTAATAGATGCTAAATATTTCTGCTATGAATTCTGAGGATTTGTGATGGTAGCTCATCTGGACCTGATTTCCGTATAATCGAAAACCTTCTGCTAATAACCGACGGAAGAGATTCCGTTAGGGATTAGCCTGTAAGGCAATAGCAAATTATATTAGAACCGTAAAAATTATTTCCTTGGATAAAAGAATTGGTTCCCAAAACATAATGTCAAAATACGCTTTCATTTTTTTTTTTTTTTTTTTTTTTTTTTTTTTTTTTTTTTTGTAAAAAAAAATATGCTTTCACTTGATTAGCTATAATAGTGGAAGAATTTCAATAACTTTAAAGTTTATTTTATTTTTTTAATTTTTATTTTTTACAATAATTGTAGTTATTTGTGTACAGAATCAGAGCTAAAAACTGATATGACATAGAACTTGCGATGGTTGCTAATCTGGGGTCTGGGCCTATTGGAAAATATGTGCCTTTTTTTGGGGAATTTAAGATACAGGATTTAGATGTGCTTGTGAGCTAACATAGTCTAGCATAATACACAAGAAGTCTAGAATAATTACGTTTGGTATATTTATTGTCATGGGGTGTTATTTATCAGTAAGAATCCTAACTAACTGCTATAGAATTGAAAAAACCTATTCTAGTAGATGAATCTGGAAATGACATTGGCATTTAAGGAGATGACGAAGTAACTTGATAAATTGCAAGACACGGTTATTTTGGATAGATCGAATATTGCTAGATCTTTGATATTATTTTAAAGACAATTTCTGGGGGAGTATTAAAATGACGTTAACTATGTATGTATGTATGTTGGAAAATAATGTATGCATGATGGAACTCTGTGAGAGTTTTTCTTTTGATATTCGTATAGAATCTAATCTATTGCACTTCTTGATGATTATCCTTTTTTTTTTCTTTCTAAATCTGTTTGCTGTAGCAGATTTGTATAATAGAGCTCTTGAGGAATTGGCACAGTGAAAGAATCGGTTAGAATTTGTGATTGAAAACCAATTTGTAGAATGAAGCAGGAAAGGAACTGGGTAGTTTTTGCGGTTGAAAAACCCATTGCTCTTCTAAAATTCTGCCATGAATGAAAAAGATAATATAATACTGTCAACTGTGTTACTCGGAATGGAGATAGAGGCTTTATGGGAAGAAGTGAGAGAGCTAAGCCTTGGGCAGTTGGGAAGAGTAGAGCGGCTAGACACGCCACCAACTCCACTACAATTCTTGAGAGACTTTGTCTCCCAAAACAAGCCCTGCATCATCTCTAATGCTACTCTCCATTGGCCAGCTCTCTCTAACTGGACCAGTGATTCCTATCTCAATCAGGCCCTTTCTGCCTCCTCTGCTTATTCCCAAATGGTCTCTGTACACCTTACCCCTAATGGCCAAGCCGACGCCCTTGTTCCTCTCAATGAAATTAGTACAAAGAATGATGCATCGTCTTCACCATCCAATTCCTTCTGTTTTGCCTCTGCTCACGTGCAGCATATGCCCTTCCCTGAAGCTCTTAAACTCATCAGCTCTTCTAATAACATCAGCGAGAACATACAGCCCAAAGTCATAGCTTACGCACAACAACAAAATGATTGTCTTCGGTCTGAGTACTCTGTGCTGTCTCCTGACTGCGATCCTCACATCCCTTGGGCCTCTGAAGCCCTTGGATGTCTCCCTGAAGCTGTCAACCTTTGGATTGGTAACCATCTTTCAGAGACCTCTTTTCACAAGGACCACTACGAGAATCTCTATGCTGTTGTCACTGGCTGCAAGCATTTCCTCCTCCTTCCTCCTACAGATGTTCATCGTATGTACATCTGTGACTATCCTGCTGCCCAATATTCCTATTCTCAGGTCTCTTGGCCTTGCATGTGTTGTCATTGTCTTTGCTTTTGAGTTTTGATTACTGAATCATCCATCAATTCTGAGTTGTATTGCGAATTGCATTTGCAGGAGACTGGAGATTTTACTCTTGAATTGGATAAGCCACTCAGATATGTTCCCTGGTGTAGTGTGAATCCTTTCCCTTCTGTGGAGACCAAAGAGGAGGAAATGGCTAAATTTCCTTTATATTTCCAGGGTCCAAAGCCATTCGAGTGTACTGTTAATCCTGGAGAGATTCTTTACTTGTAAGTGTCACAGAAAAAGGATTCTTATTTTCTGTTATTATGGATTGGTATTACACGGTATTATATAGTAGATTACAGGAGAAATAATAGGAAACTAAATCATTCCCAAATCGGGAAAGTGCCTAACCGGATCCCTCAATTTAAGGGATTTCAAACTAATTCTCTTAATCTATTTACAGCTAACTTACATGTCAACACTCCCCCTCAAACTGAGGAATAAATATCTTCCATTCCAGCTTGAATACAAGATCGTGGAAAACCGAACTGTTCAGCCCCTTTGTTAGAACATCAGCCAATTGACGTTCTGATGGAACATAGGACATACATACTAATCCTTCCTCCAATTTTTCTTTGATGAAGTGTCTATCAATTTCAATATGCTTTGTCCTATCATGTTGTATAGGATTATGAGCAATATTGATGGCTGACTTGTTGTCACAATAGAGCCTCATAGGACCTTCCCATTTGACTCTTAAATCATCTAGAATAATCTTTAGCCAAAGCAGTTCACACAATCCTTAAGCAATAGCCCTGAATTCTGATTATGCATATGAACCTTGCCACCACGTTCTGTTTCTTGCTTCGCCACGTTACCAGATTGCCTCCAAGAAAAGTACAATACCATATAGTTGATCTTCTATCCACCAAGGAACCTGCATAGTCAGCGTCAGTATAAGCTTCTAAAGTGAGGGTATTGTTCTTCTTGAACAAAATTCCTTTCCCTGGATTGCCTTTCAAGTAATGTAGTACCCTGTAAGCAGCTTGAAGATGAGGTTCTCTTGGATCATGCATGAATTGACTGATCACGCTCACAGAGTATGCTATGTCTAGCCGAGTGTGAGCAAGGTATATGAGTCTACCAACCAACCTCTGGTACATTCTTTTATCAACAACTGGTTCTTCTTTAGCTTCTCCCAACTTATGGTTCGGATCCATTGGAGTAGAGACTGGCTTACACCCAATCTTCCATGTTTTTGCTAATAAATCAGTCATGTACTTTTGCTGAGATATGAAGATCCCTTGTGTGGAATAGGCCACCTTAATACTGAGGAACTACTTCAATTTCCCCAGTTCCTTTATCTCGAACTCTTTTACTAATCTCTGCTTCAATTCATGCTTCTCTCTCTCATCATTTCCAGTCACTATGATGTCGTCCACATAGACTAGAAGAGCAGTCACTCCTCTAGCAGCCGAATGCTTAATGAAGAGAGTGTGGTCACCTTGGCTTTGTTCATACCCAGACTCCTTCATCACCTTTGCAAATCTACCAAACCATTGCTTTAACCCGTAAAGGGCCTTTCTCAGCTTGCATACTTTGTTACTTGTGTTTCCCTCAAATCCCGGTGGAATATTCATGAAGATTTATGCATCTAAGTCACCATGAAGAAATGCATTCTTAACATCATACTGTAGTAGCTGCCAATTGTAGTGAGCCGCCAATGATAGCAGAATTCTCACAGTATTCATTTTTGTGACTGGAGCGAAAGTCTCCTGATAATCAACTCCATAAGTCTGAGTGTATCCCTTGGCCACCAATCTTGCTTTATATCTCTCGAGGGATCCATCAGCCTTGTATTTCAGTGTGAAAATCCACTTGCAATCAACAACATTTTCCCTTTTGGTCTATCAACAATCTCCCATGTTCTATTCTTTTCTAATGCACTCATCTCTTCTCTCATAGCCTCTCCCTCCCTTCCTTTTTTGACAATGCCTCAGAAACAGTATTAGGGATAACAATGGTGTTTAAACTCACAATGAACTTTTTGTGGGTTGGTGACAGACGCTTAAGAGAGATATAGTGAGATAGTGGATAGATTGGTTGTTTAGTACATTCTCACAAGGACTATACTAAACAACACGGGCTGGAACATGAGGAAGATCAAGGGTTTTAAGGGCTCAAATGACTCACAAGGACTATCTTCCATGATTGGAATCTCCCCCTGAAGAGAGGACTTGGAGAAAAAAGGTGGATTTTCTGTGAAGGTGACATCAGCAGAGATGTGAAATTTTCTAGATGAAGGGTTGTAACACTTGTATCCCATTTGAGTGGATGAGTATCCAAGAAAAATACATTTGGTGGCTCGGGGATCTAGCTTGCCTTTGTGTTGGCTGTGGACATGAACAAAGGCAGTGCATCCAAATATCCTAGGTATAAGACCATTTGAGGTTATGAAGTGAGGGTAGAAGCTATTGAGGATCTCTATGGGACTCTTGTTGTCTAACACATGTGAGGGAAGTCTATTTATCATGTATGTGGTAGTAATAACTGCCTCTCCCCAATAGGACTTAGGAACATTCCCTTGAAAGTGTAAAGCTTGGGTGGTGTTGAGTAAATGCCCATTTTTCCTCTCAGTTACCCCATTTTGTTGAGGTGTGTTAATACATGATGAATCATGAATAATGCCTTGTGATTGAAAGTAGGGTGACAAAAATTGATTGAAGTAGTCTCTAGCATTGTCTGTCCTAAAGCTTTTTATTTTAACCCCAAACTAGTTTTGAACCATCGAGTGGAAATTAGGTATAACAATGCTAACATCGGATTTTTGTTTCAGAAGAAAGAGCTATGTAACCCGAGTACAATCATCAATCAAAGATACAAATCAACGAGCCCCTGAAATATTAGGTATAGTAGAAGGACCCCATATGTCACTATGAATCAAATGAAAAGGATGAAAACTTATTTTATTGCTAATAGGAAAAGATACACGAGTATGTTTTGTCAGTTCACAAACATCACAATGAAACTCATAAATATAACATGACTTTTAAAACCCTAAAGTTGGATGACCTAGGCGTAGGTGATACAGCCAAATGACATCCTTATTTGAGGAACTGAGAAAAGACAGAGACAAATTGCTCCGAACTCTCTGAGATGATTCAAGATGGTAAAGGTCGCTTCTTTCCTTAGCAAGTCCAATCCTCCTCCCCGAGCCCTGATCCTGAAAAACACAATAGGTATGGAAAAAAGTAGCATAGCATTCAAGATCATGGGTGTAGTTTTTTAGAGGAAAAAGAACTTACTTTCTTATTATTAATATGCGGAATTTGCAAGCTATTTATAGGCATAAAACTAACTTAAAAAATCTATCATAATCATGAAATCCTAATTGGATTCCAAGTCATCCTTATCCGGACCTAATCAAACATTCTATCCGGATTTCTAAATTTAAAAACATAATCTAGGAAGAGATAACTCCTAACTTTTAGAATGATAATCTCCTTAAGAGATAATTTCCTAGCTTTCAAAACCTAGGTCTTCGGTACCCCCCCTCAAGTTGGTGCATAGATATCTATCATGCCCAACTTGCTGATAAGAAACTCAAAGCTTGGTCTGAATAATCCCTTCGTGAGAATATCAGCTATTTGTTGTGTTGTTGGAACAAAGGGCATATAGATAGCGCCTTCTTCTAGCTTTTCCTTTATGAAATGTTTGTCAATTTCAACGTGTTTAGTTCTGTCATGTTGCACTGGGTTGTGAGCAATACTGATCGCGGCCTTGTTATCACAGTAAAGTTTCATAGGCATCTCTATTGGTTTCTTCAACTCCTCAAGGATCCTTTTTAACCACAATATTTCACATACTCCATGAGCCATTGCCCGGTACTCAGCTTCTGCACTACTTTGAGCTACTACACTTTGTTTCTTGCTCCTCCAAGTGACTAAGTTTTCCCAAACATAAGTGCAATATCCAGATGTAGATCTTCTGTCTGTGACGAAACCTGCCCAATCTGCATTCGTGTATGCTTCAATTGTTTTCTGCTCGTGTTTCTTACAGAGGAGTCCTTTCCTTGGAGTGCTTTTCAAATATCTTAGGATTCGATATACTGCCTCAAGGTGTTCTTCACGTGGTGAGTGCATGAATTGACTTACCATACTAACTGCGAACGCAATGTCTGGTCTGGTACAAGACAGGTAAATTAGTTTTCCTACCAACTTCTAATATCATGTTGTATTTACCAGATCTCCATTTTTGGCATCTCCCAACAACAATACCCTTTTTTGAACAGGCAAAACTTCCATTCCCAGAAAATATTTTAAAGATCCCAAGTCCTTGATCTCGAATTCTGAAGCCAGACTTTCCTTCAAACGACTCATTTCAGCAGAATTATCTCCAGTAAGGATAATATCATCTACGTAGATGATCAAAACTGCAATTTTCCCATCATCAGAGTGCTTGATGAACATGGTGTGGTCACTTTGGGCCTGGACATATCCCTGATTTTTAATAGACTTGAGTGAATCGTTTAAACCAGGCTCTTGGGGATTGTTTGAGCCCATAAAGTGATTTTCTTAGCTTACACACTTTAGATCCATAGTGCTTATCAAATCCAGGCGGTGGATCCATATAAACTTCCTCTTTCAATTCTCTGTTTAGAAATGCGTTCTTCACATCTAACTGTTGAAGCGGACTCTTACGGTATTCAGCTTTGCCACTGGAGTAAACCCTTTAGCCACCAACCGTGCTTTATACCTCTCGAGAGATCCATCCGAATTATACTTGATGGTGAACACCCATTTACAGCCAACTGTTTTCTTTCCTCTCGGCAGATCCCTTTCTTCCCATGTGTGATTCTTCTCAAGTGCTCTCATCTCTTCAGAAATAGCTTTCCTCCACTCAAGAACTTGTAAAGCTTCTTGTACACTCTTTGAAATTTCCACAGAAGTGAGATGTGAGGTAAATGAAAAAAATGAGAGAGATTCTTATAGGACACATAATTAGACATGGGGTGTTTAGTGCATGACCGGACACCCTTGCGGGTGGCAATAGGAATATTGAGATCATCAAATGACTCAATACTAGCACTAGGGATAGACTGTATGGAATCATCAAGGGGCTCGGGACTATAATTTAAACAAGAATCGGATTGATTGTTACCTGGGCACTTGGGGAGGTGTTTTGGTTCTTCCCTCAGTTTGGACTCATGGCCTTGTAGATGCCTTGTTTCTTTAAATTCAGTTTCCTCCTTGAGTAGACCAAGAGATTTGTATTCTTAGTACCA